GCACCCAGACATTCATCACCACACAGTTAAGCTACAGACGTCTGCAGTCACAGGGAGAAGCTTGGTTACAAATGTTTATAACATCCTCCTCTTTCACGCCTTGAAAACAAATTCCTTGTTAAATTTTTTTTTTCCAAAAACAAACTCAAGCTTTAAGAATTCAAAACCCAGTATGTCTCATCTCGCAATTCTACTTCTGAATACATACCAAAAGACTTGAAGGCAGGGACTCATATGAATGCTGTTCTTAGTAGCAGTATACACAATCACCAAAAGGCTGGAACAAGCTGTGTCCCACGATGGATGAATGGAGAAATGGAAGTGATCTACACATACAATGGAATATAGCCTTGAAAGGGAAGGAAATTCTGACGTATGCTACAGGTAGATGAATGAACCCTGACAACAGCATCCTTAGTGAAACAAAAGGACAGGTACCGCTTGATTCCACTTCCAGGACATATCTAGATAATCATTCATTGAACAGAAGGTAGAATAGAGGTTATCAGGGCAGAGCAAGGGGGCAATGGGAATGTATGTTTAATGGATACAAAGTTTCAATTCCAGATGATGAAAAAGTTCCAGAGATGGGTGGTGGTGAGTGGTTGCACAACAATGTGAATGTACTTGATACCACTTAAAAAAGACTTAAAAATCCAGTTATGGAATACATACATCACGGGGTAAAGGGCACAGTGCAGGAGCATAACTTACAGAGTTGTTGAATCTCTGAGTTGTACACCTGAAACTAATGTAACATTGTGTAAATTATACTTCAATTACAATTACTTAAAGTGTTTAAGATGGTAGATTTTATGTTATTTGTATCTTACCATGATTTAAAAAAATAAAAATCAATTTCTTAAAAACAAAAATATCCCAATGCATCTTATTCCCATGGAAAAATAGACTTTTTTTTTTTCTGGTCTCCAGAACAATCTCTTAGAAAATAATATCAACAGCAAGAACATCTTGAAGCTTCTAAATCAGCTTTGGGAATTGTGGAGCACTTTGTGGAGCAGAGAACAGGAAACAGGGTCTGTCTAAACACAAGGAAAGGAAACAGTCATTTCCCTGCTTGTCTTCAGCACTGTTTATGTAAAAATATTCTGCCCTCTGAGATGTTTTGACTTTTGGTATCCTCCTCCTAGGCAAGCCGGAAACCCTGAGGGTTGACATCTTCACTCTTTGTTTCTAAGCAACAACTGAAAGTCAGCATAAGAAAAAGAATTTTTAATTAAAGAGAACAGAGCAAGAAATAGAACCTCAATTTTATCTCTTTCCCACATCACCTCCGAGGCAGGAATCCAGGCACTTGAAGCTATGCAATTTTTCCCAGTTTATAAACCAAGAGTTTAATTAAGTTTCTTAAGATTTCTATACCCTTTGGCAAATTATTTCCTCTATTACAAACATCTTCCTTGGATGCCCAAAAAGTTTAAGAAATAATTATAACATACTTGATAACACAAAAGTCCTTTGAATTGAAAGTCCTTGACTCAACAGCAGTTTATTTCTGTTACTGTATTTTAATTCTACCTGCAGAAAGAACTCAAAACACACACACCCCACACACATCCCTTTATCCTGCATTACCAATGAACTTATTTTTCATTAAATATATTTTCAGTAGAAACATGCATAGCTAGTAATTTTCAGTATAGTTTTTGGAGTTATATCCCAAGTCCTCGAGGGTAGAGTATTTACATAAATCTTTTGGAACTTTTCTGTAAGGAGATTTGCTTATGCTTCTCACTTGATTTTTTTTTTATAAGATTTTATTTATTTGACACAGAGAGAGTGATCACAAGTAGGCATAGAGGCAGGCAGAGAGAGAGAAGCGGAAGCAGGCTCCATCCCAGGACCCTGAGATCACGACAGGAGCTGAAGGCAGAGGCTTAACCCTCTGAGCCACCCAGGTGCCCCTTGATCTTTGTTGATATCAGTAGGAACTCATTGATATTTATTATATACTTTGGGTATAGTCCATAACTACTTGATATCGTCGCTGAAATTGTTACTTCAGGCCATGTGTTCCCCCATATGCTTGGCTGAGGAAGAACAAAAGAAAACAGGAAGACAAAACTGAGTGTTTACTGTATGCAGGCACTGTCTTGGGTCCTTCTTGTCTTTGAAACTTACTTTAGCAGCATTCAGTGTCTGAATTCCATGTACCCGCAGGAGCACAAGTTCTGGTGTTCTAACCAGGTGGTGACTTAATACCAATTACCCTACCTCCCTGAACCCCAGATTCTTAATCTGTAAGATAAGGATAATGCGTGTTTACAGGGTTGGGATGAGGATTATGAAATTAACTAGCTTATGAAATTAATTATGGGCTTCACAAAAGGAACAAATGAGTCCAATTATAGGAGGTGCCTGGAATAGTCAGAGCCATAGGAAGGAGAATGGTGGTACCAGGAGCTGGAGGATAAGGGTGTGGGGAGTTTGTGTTTTATGGCACAGTTACTGGGATGCACAACAGTGTGAATATACTGAATGCTGCTGAGTTGCATTTGAAAATGGTTAAAATGGTAAATGATGTGATGCGTATTTTACCACACAGAAATATATGCTCATTGTTAAAAATTTAGAAAAAAAAATTTTTAAGTGTTTTAAGTCCTTAGTGGGGGACCTGGCTGGCTCTGTCAGTAGAGCGTGGGACTCCTGACCTTGGGATTGTAAGCTTGAGTCCCATGTTGAGTGTAGAGATTACTTAAAAGTAATTTAAAAAATCTTTAAAAATTTTTTATTTATTTTTTAATTAAATAATTTATTTTTTATCATGTTCAGTTAGCCAGCATATGGTGCATCATTAGTTTTTGATGTAGTGTTCAATGATTCCTTAGTTGCATATAAGACCCAGTGCTCATCACAACAGGTGAATAAAAAAATTCTTAAAAAAAAAAAAAACCCTTGGTAATCCCGGTACTCGGTGGCCGCTTCTGTTTTGTCATTTGTAGCCCCTGTATAGTCTGGATCCTACTCTTTTTTTTTTTTTTTTAAAGATTTTATTTATTTATCTGACAGACAGAGATCACAGGTAGGCAGAGAGGCAGGCAGAGAGAGAGGAGGAAGCAGGTTCCCTGCTGAGCAGAGAGCCCGATGCGGGGCTCGATTGGAGGACCGTGGGATCATGACCTGAGCCAAAGGCAGAGGCTTTAACCCACTGAGCCACCCAGGCGCCCTGGATCCTACTCTTTTAACACTATATGTATGTATTTCCCCAAACTGGTGAAAACTCAATGACCATTTTATTAGCTGCATGATGGTCCACCATCACTGATTAGTCATTAGTCATATTTTTCAGCATTATAAATAACACTATAATGAACACCTCTCTGTGAATTAATATATCTTTAATATAGACCCAGAAGGAGAATTACCGAGCCAAGAGGCGATCATGTTTAAGGCACGTGATATACGCTGTCATATTTAGGAAGGTAATCCGAATACCTTGCCACAGGCTACCTGAAAAGACACTAGTTTGAAGGCGCCCACAGGGGCTGCCCAACGTTAAATACAGTACTTTTTTGTTGTAAAGTTGTCTGCTAATGTTGTTCTTCGATTTCCCCTCCCCCTCTGTTACACTCAGTCTTCTTTAATCATTTGTATGAAACTGTATATAGTAAGGTTATTAATTTTCCCTCGCTGCCTTTAATTGGCGTTAATTATTGTCAAACATCTGTTGCTTTTAAGAAAACAAAATGTGGAAATATTTTTATTTCTTAAGTTCGTTGATTTTTCCCCCCATACAGCACACGGAAATTCCCATAAATCACACACAGCAAGTTCCATTTCTCAAACGCATTGTCAGTGGGGCGCAGAGGAGCAGAGGCTATTTAAGCAAATACCCCCCCCCCCGCCCCGCCCGCCCCGACTCCAGGCCTGCCGCCGCCTTCGGTGTTCTGTCGCCGGGGCAACTAATAAACCAGCATTCCTTCCACCTAACCCTGCGCTGGCGACGGTGGCAGCTGCGCTCCTGCGCGCTCTGGAGCCCTGCAGCCTGGGGAAGTGTCCTCAAAGCCGGGCGTCGGCGCCTCCAGGCTCATCCAGGCGCTTTCTAAGCGCGGCCGCAGGCTAACCGGAGGCAGATCCCTCGCACCCCCATGCAGAGTCGTGCTCTTTCCCAAGACCCGGCACGGTGGGCAGCGTACTCTCTTCTCTCTCTCCTCTCCGCGGCCTTCCACCGCCTGGAAGCGCAGCCGCGTCTCCACCCAACTCGCTTCGCGCAGCGCCGTCGGGGCATCCCGGGCGCGCGCTCCGGCACCTCAGGCAGGGCAGGTCTACGTGGGTCCCGAGACAACCGTAACTGCCCCCCGCCCCCGCAACCGCGCGGCTGCTTAAAAACGTGGACGTGAGATCCTCCGGAAATCTGGGCACCTAGACGCTGCCGCTGGAACCAGAACCCCTAGGCCTGCGGGGAGCCCCAGAGGGGCAGGAAGAAGCCAGGGACCCCTTCGCTCCCGCGCCCAGCAGGGGAGGCCCCTGCGCAAGTGCTCCGTCACCCCCGACCCCATAGGGAGGGTGCCCTACAGAACCCCCCACCCCAAAACGTGCCCTCCTCCCCGCGTTCCCCAAGCTTCCTCGTCCCCGCCCCTGGCGACCCTCCCTGGGTTTCCTTTGTCCCCTCCACACCCTCGCTCCGAGCTTTCTGAGTCCTTTCCACGGATAGTTTCCCCCTCCCCCCACCTCACTCCCCGCGCGGCGCCCCTTCTGAAGCTTTTCTCCTCCCCTCCCCCTCTCCGGCTTCCCGGTCCCTTCCCGCAGCCTCTCCTGCGCCCTCTCCGCCCCCTCCTCCTCGGTTTCCCTTGTCCCCTCCCGCCCCGCCCCCGTTTTTAAACCTGGCGCGGAGCGCACTGGTAGGTGAGCGCCCTCGCCCGAGCGGTTAGAGGCGCGGCTGTGTCGCTGGAGAGGCGCTGGCAGCGCGGGCACCATGAGACCCGAGGCGGCGGCCGGAGCCCGGGAGGCGCGCGGGCGCGTCTGTCATTGCCCCGCGGATGGTGCCCGGAGGCCACCGCCGCCGCGCGGGCCCGAGAGGTGAGGGTGTCCCCGCGGCCCCCTGCACGCGTCGAGAGGCGCGCGGCGCGTCGGGGCAGCGAGCGCAGAGCGGGATGCCAGCGCCGTGGAGCTCCCCGAACCCGGGCGGAGCCCCGGAGCCCGACCGCGACGCCAAGCAAGTTCCTTAACCTTGGACGGGGACGCACGGTGCTCTCCATTTTCCGCGCACAGCGCCGAAGTGTGGAGGCCCGGGAGGCGCACACCAACCAATGGGCCAACGCTTCCATTCATAGATCTGAAATTCACCGGGCTGGGAACTTGAAGTCTCGGAGCCTCCCAGCTAGCCTTCCAGAGGGTCCCCTCACGTTGACTGTCACACTCTTGATGACAGTCTTTGTTTGCCCTGCACTTGGGGCTCAGCCCTTTCAAGATAGTACAGTTTAAGTGTGGAAGGGGCTGGGTGGCTAGGCAGCCAGAGAGGAGAAACCCATTCCCCAACCCCCCCTTTTGCATTGTAGAACCCTGTGGAATCATCTCTGCGGGGTCAAGATCCTTCAGCAGCCCAGGGGGTGCAGTTGAAATTAATGAGCAACAAAAGTAGCCAGCTACAGTAGGGAATCAACTGGAGACTCCATTTGGGTTGGGAGGGGATATCTCTCAATTTACATGTCCCCTGATATGCATCAGATTATCTTCTCAAAGCCGGTGACGGCAGAGAAGAATGTGGCAGGAGAGAAAAAAACAAAAACGCAAATAGCATCAGTTTATTCACAGACTGAGAACTTGAAAGAACTTTCTGTGATATCCAGGGACTCCCAGTCAAACACTGGAATTGCTAAGAACGATAACTCTTATGATATAATTTTAAAAGACAGCAGAAAATTCTGGGGTTCACCTCTGGTCCCTGCCTTTCCAGCCCCACACCGTGGAGACCTTGGATCCTCACATCCCATGAAGCTGAGCTGACCAGAACTGGAAGCCGGGTAAGGCTAAGGTGGGCATTGTGGTATCGAAGGGTTCGGCCAGAAAGTGGCGCAACTCAAAAATGACCATGAAAGGCCTCCTCGGTCTCTCCCTCCCTTGGTCCCCTAATGCAGAACTGCCTGTGGGCCTGGGAGAGGGAACCTGGGTGAACTGGCGGTTGATCAGACCTGAGTCACATGTATAGACTGGGCTACTGCTTGCTTTCTTGAAAGCAAAGCCACTATGGCATAGCTCTTTCAAGGGCATTATAAGAGAGTTCTAGAAAAGTGAGCGAGAACGACAGAGATTTCTTTATGTTGAGTTCCCCCGCTGCAAACGAGCAGGTGTAGAGAGGAGGGGAGAAGGCTGCCCCAGTCCCCCTTCTGGGTGTGCCATTACTGGTGGGCTGGTACCACAGTGCAAATAAGGGCAGAAACCAGTCTGGGGTTCCCAGAAGTGGTGGTTAAAAGCCCCCACCCATCATCTGGCCCTTCCTGAAGCACTTTTGGCCAGTCTGCAAGCACTCCTGGGGTAATTCATGTTGTCTGAGCAAATACACTCCCGCCAAGGCTTTGTGGGTAAAGATTAATCTACACCACAATTCTTTTGTTTCCTGCATTGGTACCTAAATTGCTTTATATTTATTGAAGTAATGGCTTGCTTTCATAGACTTTACCTTTCCTTTCCAAAAATCTTAAAATGTAAGCTGATGACTGTTATAATGCTGGAGAGCTAATCAGGCTGAAAAGGACCATGCATTTAACTTACCCAACATGTGGTATAGGTAATGTGTACAGTTATTTGTAATATGATAAGAAACTCGGGTACACGAAAGCTGACCTTTGGCTGTATTTTGATATTCACACTACTTTACTAAATTAGCTTGGATAATGGAATTTAAAAAAACTAAACATGCAATCTGTATCAGATTAACAAGGTATATGATTTTGTAGCCCAAGTTACTTTTAAATACGTGCAATATCTAAATAATGGAAAATAATTAGCACCTTTTGCATTCAAGCTCAAGTTCTTAATAAGATTTAAAAAGTGCTTGAGAGAAGGAGAAATTATAGAAGTTCACAATTATCCATTTTGTTGTTGTTGTTAAATGAAAGGTATAAGGAGCCTATCCGTTGTTGTAAGAATAAAAATACAATAGCACAGTATAGTATTCAAGGCAGATGGGGGTTTTTTCCTCTTAGGATGAGAAGGATATTTGTGAGAAAAAAACGATTACTTGCAGGAAAGTGTTAATCTGTAGGAAGTTGCTAGTTGATCGTCAGCATGGCAGGGGTGTGTCCGTGGATTTGGGGGGGAGTTGCTCTCAGGGGACTGGCTAGCTTTTTGCAGAGCTTAGCTGGCCGGGCGGAAAGGACAGCAGCGGGCGACCGCAGGTTCCATGCACCGCTCACGGTTCCGCGACCCCGGGCAGGGTGAGCGCCGCTTAGCGCGGGAAGAGAACGCTTCTTGCTCAACAGCGCCCTCTCCCGACAACGCGGGAAAATTCCTTGGCTCCAGAGCCCTGTTGCGTATTTCTCGAGAAATTCGAGGGCGGGGTTCAAAGCCCTTTGCCCTGAGCACCTGGGTCACCCTCACCCATTTGGTACCCCTACCTCCCCTTGGGAGCGGTCTCCCTCTCCTGCCTGGGGAAAATGAACCACAGCCCAAGCCTTTGTTGACCTCTGTTATACTTCCCTGCTGGCCCCTTGCCCACCTTGCAAGGGAGGTGATTTCCTGAAAGGAGACGTCTGGGGCTGTTTCCTGCTGGGCTCATCCTCCCATGTTACAGGCTTCCCACCCCATCGCTTTATCGGAGTCAGAGGCTGCGTGGAGAGGAGAACCGGAGACTCCAATGGAAGTTTACTTTTATCTCTTCTCTTACTCCTAAGGACACACAACCTTTCCTTGTATACATTCCTGATCCCCTTGAATTATCCAAGTGTGAATGTGTAGACATTTCTGCCAACAGAAGATGATCTTTAATTAGAAGATATTTGTGGCATAAAGCTATGTATGTTGGGGGGTAAAGTTTTAGAGTTTCTAAAGGCGTATTTTATGTTTCACAGAGTCTGGTTAGAATTACTCACTTAAAGGAAGCTGTTTTTCTGTGCTGTCACTGTCTTTTGGGGTCCACCAAAGTTTGCCCTGTTGCTTTAGATGCTCTCCCCTCACAGGATGTAAAATCACCTCTGACAGCGCAGGATTGCTTACTGTGTTAGTCGGCAATTAGGGGTATTTTATAATTACAACACAGCTTAGCACGGACATGATTCTCTGGAGTCCTCAAAAAGTGAACTTCATTTTGGAGAAGATTGTGTTCAAAGAGCTTCTTTTTCTTTCCCTGACATCGCTTATCACAGCATATTGTAAAAAATATAATGGTAAAATATAATGACATTTGCTCGCAAAGGCTACACAGCTATCACTGTGGGATGGATTGGGTGTGATGATCGTTGGTGACGAACCATCCTCAGGGTCCTTTCTTGTCCTGCTCTAGCAGGTTTTGTCTCACTCCTGATCTGGTTCCTGCTAAACTCCATGCAAACCCAAGCGCTGGGGTTTCTGACCCATTGCCCTAGCTCATTTCAGCTCACTTTCAAGCAAAAGCATCTCTTCCCGCCTTCCATAGTAACTACAACTTTCAGAGCTCTGAGGTGGAGGAGCTCTGAGATCGAACGACAGTTGCCAGCTTTGTAGCCCATCAGATCATCTGACCACAGTTCATTGAGATTCAGGACCTCATGAATTTGGGCAGAATGGGGTCAGGCCTGGACAGGCAGAGTGTGGCTGTCCCTTCACCTCCCTAGCACCAACGCTGGTCACCACAAGGACAAGCCTGGCGTGCGATCTCTCTCTCTCTCTCTGCTTGTATCTTATCTCCATCAACGTAGCCCTTAGTTCCTCAGACTGGCTTCCCTCTCCTCCACTCGTGACATTCAAATGGTCAGGTTGTTTTTTGAATATGACTGAAGTGCCCTCGGAATCCACCTTTCCTTTCCCTTCCTGTCCCTGTTCAGACCTTTATCCCTTCTTGACCCGTACCTCCGAGCCCTTACCTCCCCAAGCTAGGCTGTGCGCTGGTCCCGGGGGCCACCATATCCTTGAACTACAGATCTGACGGTTGAACTCCTGACTCAGAAATTAGTGACGGTCTCTAGTGATTCTCCAGAATGAAACCCAGGCTCAGAAGTAGGTCCTCAAGGCATCCTGTGATCGGGACTCGGCTTCCTGCTGGGGCCCATTAAATACCACAGCTTCTCCTTCGTTCTGCACGGGGCTCCTCACCCTTTTCCACCTACGATCTCTGTTTTCCGTCCCCTCAGAATCTGATGTTCCCCTCTGCCAAGAATGGTCTCAGACTTGCACACCCAAATGCTGTTGATGTCTCCGCCAGGCCCTCTGTGAACCTTTTCTTCCTCCCTGCTTAGAATTGTTGGCATCGCGGCACCTGGGTGGCTCAGTGGGTTAAAGCCTCTGCCTTAGGCCCGTGTCATGATCTCGGGGTCCTGGGACCGAGCCCCACATCGGGCTCTCTGCTCAGCGGAGAGCCTGCTTCCTCTCTCTTTGCCTCTCTGCCTACTTGTGACCTCTGTCTGTCAAATAAATAAAAAAACAAAATTAAAAAAAATTTTTTGGCATCTTGCTGTAAGAGGCTTTGTAGTGTAATCATTTGCCTAAGTGTGTCTTTTCCCATTAGATTGTAAAAGCCTGGGGGCACCTGGGTGACTCAATCATTAAGTGTCTGCCTTTGGCTCAGATCATGATTTCAGGGTCCTGGGATCTAGCCCCATATCAAGCTCCCTGCTCCTCCCTCTCCCTCTACCCTTGCTTGTGTTTCCTCTCTCTCTGTCTCTGTCAAATAAATAAAGTCTTTAAAAAAAAAAAAAAAAAAAAAAAAACAAGAAACGCCTGAACTGAAGGACTGTATAGGACTCATCTTCCTGTCTTTGATCCCTCACGGTGCCCAGGACATCTCTGACAGCAGGAAGAGAAAGAGGCTCACGAAATACCGTAAAGGTGTTTAAACTGTCTCTAAATTCGTATTGCTATTAAGAAGTGCAAACCACTGGGGCACCTGGGTGGCTCAGTGGTTAAGCCTCTGCCTTCGGCTCAGGTCATGATCTCAGGGTCCTGGGATCGAGTCCCGCATCGGGCTCTCTGCTCTGCAGGGAGCCTGCTTCCTCCCCCCTCTCTCTCTCTGCCTGCCTCTCTGCCCACTTGTGATCTCTCTCTGTCAAATAAATAAAATCTTAAAAAAAAAAAAAAAAAAAAAGACGTGCAAACCACTTAGATTTTCTTTTCTAGAATTTCAAGGTGCTACCACAGAGGGATGTGTTTGACTATGTCTGTGTTTGTACGTGTCTGTCTTTGCAGCTTGAACCTGGAGGTGACCAACAAACTCCGGGATCAAAGGGGGCCTTTGGGTTTCAGCATCCTGTAAGGTAACATGACCTCACAGTAAGAAATAGATTATTTTCTTTTAATAGAGACATAAATACACTTTCGTGTCTTCAACTGTGCACATTCTTGACAAAGTAGAAAATAATTCTATATATTGTCCAATATTTAGTTATTATGACCTCCCAAAACTTCAAGAATATTTTGTTGGATTTCTGGAATCCATTCATTCATTCAGTGTTCTAGTTGCAGACTGGATTGACGTCTTTCCTTGAAGTCTTTTGTTCATATCTCTCATTACATTTCATGTCTTGGGTTAAATTCAGCGGAGTATGACATGTGCGGGTGTATCTGTTTATTTACTTAAGTATTTAAGTCTATTCCAATTTGTCTCCCGGGTATCAGTTAGTGTACTGTCTAAAGCAAAGTAAACCTTCCAAATACGTGTGTGACTGAATGAAGGGCTGGGGGGGATGGCTCCACCATGGTGGCCCCTCTAGCCTTTCTGTGCTCCCACGGTCCTGGGGGTGACAGCACCCCCACTGCTGTGTCCCACTTACATTCATCCACTGAGGCAGGTGGCTCTTGCTCAGGACTTAGGTCTGTTTCTCTGTCTCTTTCTCTCCCCGTCTCTTATTCCCTTCAGCAAAAGGAGCCACTCCTCCTCAGAGTATTTTTACCCTGGTTATCCCGGAAGACTGAAAACTTTAGTAAGATCCAGAGATCCTCATTGCCGGATATGAAATCGAAAGCCCTTCCGACTGGTCAAAGAGTGATTTCTGGAAAGGGAAGCTTTTCCATCCCCATAGGATCACTTGGGAAGCTTTATTTTTATTTTATCTCTTTATTATAAAAATTTTCAAGCTTACACACAAGTGGAGAGAAGAGTCCTGTGACCCCCTCCCAACATGCCCATCACCAGCCTCAATAATTATCAACAATCTTCAGATCTGATGGTGTTTATCACCCTCTCCCAATTATGTTTTTATTGTTGTTAGAATTTTTTTTAAAAGATTTATTTATTTGAGAGCGAGAGTTCGAGTGGGAGGAGAGAGGGAGAGGAAGAGAGAGAATCCCAGCCAGACTCCCTGCTGAGCACAGAGCCCAGTGCTGGGCTCAGTCTCACAACCCCCCACCCTGCCCCCCGCCCCCCACCCCCTACCCCCCAACCCCCACCCAGATCATGACCTGAGTGGAAACCAAGAGTTGGAGCTTAACTGACTGTGCCCCCTGGGCGCCCCTGTTAGAATTTTAAATCAGTTCCAGGCAACTTACAAATTCAAATTGCCCTGTAAATAACTTCAGCATTACCGGCTAATTTTTAATATGGCCAAACCCTAAACTATGTTTATATTTCTGTCGTTATCTGTAATTTATATAATATAGAAATACACATAAATTTAAGGAATATATATATATATGTGTGTATATGTATATATATATATACATATATATATATATAATAGAGAGAGAGAAAAAGAAAACCATATAATGGTTTTACTTGATGCAGTGGCTGTTTGTCGCAAAGTTCCTCAACCCCAGCACTGCAAACACTTGGAGCTGGACAATTCTTTGTTGGAAGGTGCCGTGGTGGGCATGATAGGGATGTTTACCAGCATCCCTGGGCTCTGCCCACTCATGCAAGTAGCTCCTCCTCCGTCAAGGCAACCAGAAATGTCTCCAGACATTGCCAAACGCGCTCTGGAGGTTGAGAATCCCTGATTTATCAGGAATCTTAGGAAGGTCAGAAAGGCGCTTGGGTGGCTCTGCTGTTAAGTATCTGCCTTCGGCTCAGGTCATGATCTGGCCCTCATCCCCTCCCTCATCCCACTCCTTGCTCAGCAGGAAGCCTGCTTCTCCCTCTCCCTCTCCCACTCCCCCTGCTTGTGTTGTCTCTCTCTCTCTCTGACAAATAAATAAATAAATAAAATCTTAAAAAGAAAATCTTAGGAAGTCGGAATCGTCATGCATTATTTATAGTAGGGCATTTTCTTTCTCTCTTTTTTTCCTCCATCCAAGAGAGAAATTACAATCAGCTTTGCAGGGGTGCGTGGCTGGCTCAGTTGGTAAAGGATGTGACTGGATGTCGGAATTGTAGGTTTAAGCCCCATGGTGGGCGTAGAGATTATTTAAAAATAAAAAAATAAATCAGTTTTGCAAATAAGTGGTGGTCAAATGATAATCCCTCTCAGTTCCTCAGAAGACCTCAAGAAAAAATGCAAATAAATTAGTGAATGAAAGGTGTAAGAATGAGGGATAATGGGGAGAGTGAGGGGTATTTTAAACACTTTCCATGAGGGGTGCCTGGGTGGCTCAGTGGGTTAAGCCTCTGTCTTCGGCTCAGGGTCTGATCTCAGGGTCCTGGGATCAAGCCCTGCCTTGGGATCTCTGTCCCCTCTCTTTCTGCCTGTCTCTCTGCCTGCTTGTGATCTCTCTCTGTCAAATAAATAAATAAAATCTTTAAAAAATTATAATAATAATTAGCTGCTTCTCTAGACTGGGGTTTCAGAGCCAGATTTCCTCCAGAGCCCAAAGGGTCACAACATTCCCCAGACTTGGAGGTGTTGCGGGGGATAGGGACCTAACCTAAATAAGACATATATTCTCCAGGATACATGACATTCTCTCTTTGATCAGAATGAGACTCTTCAACGTGAAACTCAGTGTTTTAATTTCCTTTTACCTTCACGGAGGCACACCCTTTCTCCTGTGGTGGTCTAAATCAATCTGCTCACCCCGATTATAGGCTCATTTCTGAACTGGTGTGTAGGGTTCCTTTGGCCAGGTCTCTCCACCTGCCCACGGTTTTGCGTTCTGATGATTTCGGAAACACTCTGTGCGCAGCGAAGGCAAGATCAGAGAGGGAGATCGGGGGTTAGCTGCCTCTAGGGGAGAGGACCCGCTAGATGGGAGTTTGCCTGTTTCTAGGTGATTAATGGTGTATTTGTTTCTTAAATATTAGACTTTATTTACCCATTTCAAAGCGCCAAGAGTATCTGCAAAGTTCTGGGGAAAAAGTGCTGGCCAGTTTCCCAGTGCAAGCCACAATCCACTTCTACAACGACGAGTCCGATTCAGATGATGACGAGCAAGAGGCGGAAAACCAGACTTCCCAGCTTCAGCGCCGGGAGACGCAAGGTCCAGCAGAGAACAGCCTGGGAGGGAAGGGCAGAGGTCAGCCAGCAAACCCAGGATGGAGTTCTGTAGGACACAATGGCCTCGGTGGGAAGGGTCCACTCCCTCATGGTGACCCTCTGGAGGGCACAGAGCCTGCCTCACCCAAATAAATGGGGTCTCCCTCTCCCACACCAGACTTGGCTTACATGTGCTCTGGGGGACAGCTGTGCATTTCCCCTGGTGTACGGGGGTCGGTGACTGTCTCTGACCAGCACTCCAGTCACAGCAAGAACTTGGCTTGTAACTTTCCTGCTCCTGGTGATTCTCTTCAGGGCACTCATGCACACCATTGGAAAAGGTTTCTAGAACCAGGAGGTTTGTGTTAACATGGGTTGTCATCAGATGGGACCAAATTTCAAAGCGCGTTCATCTTGTCACTCTGTCATCAAATGATAGGTCATTCCAGTATAGGTTAATAACCCACCGATGCCTCTCACTTGACCTCAGACTTGTTATGTAGCTAATTCTACTTTTGTAAGCAAAAGGATTTAGACGTTGTCCAAGGGTGGATGTGTTTGCTTCGTGGCATTTCAAAAATATTTATGAAGAATAAACAAAACTGAATAATTTCCATAAAAGTAACAGAAACTTTAAATATGGATTTTTAGGGGAAAAATTCTGGTTAAAAATTTATGATCCTTGTCTAAGGGCTGAGTGTATGAAGGAAGATATAGAGAAAAGAGCTTTAACTCTTAGTTGGGAACTGGTTCGGGCTTGTTACTTGAATAAGATAACACTGTTTTCAATCAGATTATCTAATATAAGATTATTTTCATTTTTTTATATTTTGATGATCAAATGATTATGTTCTACAAGTTTATTACTTATATGTGATTGTCTTCCTATATATAGTACACTACATAAGTTTATACTTGAAATAAATATTTTGAAAGACAAAATGTTTGATAATCACCTTTTTTGTGTAAAGACAATTTTATTTATTTATTTATTTAGATTTTTTTTTTTTTTTTTTGCATGATCTCTACATCCAATGTGGGGTTCGAACTCACAAACTCGAGATCAAGAGTCACACATTCTCTACCAACTGAGCCACCCAGGCGTCCCATGTTTAAGACAATTTTAGGTTTTTTTTTTAAATTTTATTTAGTTACTTGACAGAGAGAGAGAGCACAAGCTGGCAGAGTAGCAGGCAGAGGAAGAGGGAGAAGCAGGCTCCCCACTGAGCAAGGAGCCCAACATGGGGCTTGATCCCAGGACCCTGGGATCATGACCTGAGCCAAAGGCAGTTGCTTAACCAACTGAGCCACCCAGGTGCTCCAAGACAATTTTAGATTTAATTAGTGCCTGCATTAAAGTTTTCATAAGTTTGTCTGGATGTTTTCATATTTAACTCTTTAAATGATATTGTTTTTAAGAATAAAAATATACATATAAAAAACAAAAGAGATTATAACCTTGATGCCCAAAAATCCACTGATATTAAAAAAATTAGCGTAATACATGCAAATACTTTAATAATCCAAACAGCATAGAAAAGTGTACATTTGCAAAAAGTCACGCTTTCCTGTTTTCCTCTTTCTCTATGCAAAGGTACCAAACATCAATTTTTTGATTGCTGCTCCCCTTTAGAAATTACTATTTGTTTTTTTTTCTTTCTTTAACAAAAAAATAACTGGAAATTTGTACCTCTTAATCCCCTTTATCTATCCCACCCCCCCCCCCCCCCCCCGCCTCCCCTCTGGGGACCACCAAGTTACTCTCTGTATTTAAGAGTCTGTTTTGTTTGTTTGTTCACTTGTTTTGTTTCTGAGATTCCAGATGTGAGTGAAATCATATGGTATTTGTCTTTCTCTGACTTATTTCACTTACCATAAACCCCTCTAGTTCTATCCGTGCTGTTGCAAATGGCAAGATCTCATTCTTTTTTTTTTTTTTGATGGCTGAGCATATTCCGTTGTGTGTGCTCGTGCACACACACACACACACACACACACACACACCCCTATACCACATCTTCATTTATCTATCAATGGACACTTGGGCTGCTTCCATGTCTTGGCTGTTGTAAATAATGCTGCAATGAACATAGAAGGGCATCTATCTTCCCAAATTAGTGTTTTTGCTCTTTTTGGGTAAATACCAAGTTGTGGAATTACGGATCATATGGTAATTCTACTTTGAATTTTTTGAGGATCCTCCATAACGCTTTTCCACAGTGGCTACACCAATTTACATTCCCACCAACAGTGCACAAGGGTTCCTTTCTGTCCGTATCCTCACCCACACATGTTATTTCTTGTCTTTAAAAAAAAAAAAAAAAAAGATGTTATTTTTATTTATTTATTTTGAAGGAGAAGGATAGCATGGGAGAGGGGCAGAGGGAGAGGAGGAGAGAGAATCTTAAGCAGACTCCACACCCAGTGTAGAGCCTGACTCGGGTCTCGATCTCACAACCCTGAGATCACGACCTGAGCCTGAATCAGGAGTCAGACACTTAACCGACTGAGCCATCCAGGTGCCTTGTTTTAAGATTCTTTTTCAGTAAATCTCTATACCCAACGCGATGCTCAGACTTAGAACCTTGAGATCAAGTCTCATGCTCTACCGACTGAGCCAGCCGGGTCCCCTGTTTCTTGTCTTTTTGATTTTAGCCATTCTGACAGGTGTGAGGTGGTATCTCATTGTGGTTTTGATTTGTATTTCCCTGATGATGAGTGATGTTGAGCACTTTTCATGTGCCTGCTGGCCATCTTGATGTCCTCTTTGGAAAACTGCCTATCTCTGCTCATTTTTTTTTTTTTTAAAGATATTGCCTATTTATTTGACAGAGAGAGAGAGAGATCACAAGTAGGCAGAGAGAGAGGCAGAGAGAGAGGAAGGGAAGCAGGTTCCCCGCCTAGCAGAGAGCCCAATGAGGGGCTCGATCCCAGGACCCTGGGATCATGACCTGAGCCGAAGGCAGAGGCTTTAACCCACTGAGCCACCCAGGTGCCCCTCTGCTCATTTTTAATCAGATTTTTTTTTCTTTTTTTGGTCTTTCTTTTTTTTTCTTTTTCAGATTTCTTCCTAAAATTCTTTTTATCAGTTAATTTTATTGTTTCTTTTACTTGTTTACAGTACCTTTTTTCAGACTTAAAAACAATTCTACCTGGGCTTATTTCAGAAACGATATAAGATGGCCTTCTATTTTGCTGGGTTTTAACCAAAAATATTAGAAGTCTCATCCTTACTGCCCCTCCGTGTGATGCACAAGGGGAAGCTTCAGTCATCACATTTGGCTTTGTTTTGTGTTTCTTAATAAATCACTTTTACTGAGGAAAAAAAAAAAAGATCTGGTTCAGTCTCCAAGTTCCCGTTAAGAAACCAAACTCAGGGGGCGCCTGGGTGGCTCGGTGGGTTAAGCCGCTGCCTTCGGCTCAGGTCATGATCTCGGAGTCCTGGCATCGAGCCCCGCATCGGGCTCTCTGCTCCGCGGGGAGCCTGCTTCCTCCTCTCTCTCTGCCTGCCTCTCTGCCTGCTTGTGATCTCTGTCAAATAAATAAATAAAATCTTTAAAAAAAAGAAAAAAAGAAACCAAACTTGGTCACTGTACGTTCACTTACAAACTGCACGTTATATGGAACCATTTGAAGCTGCTGATATTTTGACCTCCATTTCCATACGTTTTCAAAATGAACAAAATCATCTCGGTGGTATTTTCTACACCCTGCATTATTCCTTCATTTTCTGCAATAGCTTGCCTAATAATGATGCAGAAAGTAGATTTCACGTGCGGTGCCATCTAGATACCTTTCCCCTGAAATCTTTTAAAAAATTTGAATCAAAGCAGCCACTCCAACAAAGGGTACAATTAGCCAGATTTCCATGAAATATATTATTTCAAATAAATAATCTGTGGTTCAGGCTTTCTGTGAGGCATCTTTCAGTGGTTCGCCAAACATAGCTCCTAATGAATGTGATTATTGAACAGAATCTTGCAAATGCCACAAGCTGAAGCCTGTTAGGAACATTTGTACTTTCAGCCAGCTGCGTGGCAAACCTCCCATAGGGGGGAATTTGTTGCAGTATTTGTTTCCGCCCATCTCCTGCTTTTCATGGAGTCTTCCAGCTGTGCCGCTAACAAAAGAAAGCAGTTCGATGTGTTGACCCAATTGTTTCCTGTTCGGGATTTTAACCACTTCAACTGTGGTAGGAAGAAAAAGTGTTTTCCCAGTGCTGTTTCTTTGTGAACTTCTGTATTAACAAGAAATTGCAAAGTAATCTGCTAAACGTTGTTAAGTTTGGTGATGTTTTGTAGAATACTAGATTGAGGATCCCATAGTTTTACGCATATCAGTAATGTCAGGGGTCATCTGTGCTTTGCTTGAGGTTCAATGATAACGTGTTAATAACTCAATTATTTTCCTTGAGAATTTCAGTTATTTTTTGCTTACTTCCTATCGGATCTTTTCACTTGTGATGTGCCCAAAGGTGAGCTTGTTAAAAAAGCATGGGTTTTAGGGGCACCTGGGTGGCTCAATCGTTAAGCATCTGCCTTCAGCTCAGGTCCTGTTCCCGGGGTCCTGGGGGTCCTGGGGGTCCTGGGATCGAGCCCTGCATTGGGCTCCCTGATCAGCAGGAAACCTGCTTCTCCCTCTCCCACTCCCCCTGCTTGTGTTCCCTTTCTTGCTGTATCTCTCTGTCAAATAAATAAAATCTTCTAAAAAAGAAAAGCATAGATTTCAGTGTTAACATTTTCTTGTTGGTTCGCTTGTACTCAGATTGCCTGTATTATTTTCAACTCAATTTCAATTGAAGTCAGAGGGATTTTTCAATTTGTTTGTTTATTTGGGGAACTTATAATTTTTTAAAAAAAGATTTTATTTATTTATTTGACAGACAGAGATCACAAGTAGGCAGAGAGGCAGGCAGAGAGAGAGGGGGAAGCAGGCTCCCTGCTGAGCAGAGAGCCCCATGCAGGGCTCCATGCAGGGCTAGATCCCAGAACTCTGGGATCATGACCTGAGCCAAAGGCAGAGGCTTCAACCCACTGAGCCATCCAAGCGCCCCTGGGGAACTTATTTTTAATCACCATTTCCTCCTTGTGATAGCTCATTAAAGAGGAAAACTACCTGTTTTTCTGGGTCTGCATGAGTCATTTTTGTAGACT